GTTCGCTGTTATAAGCAAAAGTAAATAACAGATTACCTTGAAGTCGTCTATATGATTATATAGTATCCGGATGGCTTGAAACATAAATATTATGCTGATAATGCAGATAACGCGTTGGTTGGGAAGCTCGTAGCGAACTTTCAGATTGATTTGAAAAGAAAGAGAGAGAGAGAGAGAGAGAGAGAGAGAGAGAGAGAGAGAGGTGAGGGGATTTGGGGAGGGGGGGAGGAGAGGAGAGGAGAGGAGAGGAGAGAAAGAGGAAGATAAAGAAAGTGTTGATTGGGTCCGGCGAACGATAATTTTTTTTTCTTCGATTATTTTTCATTCATAATAAACCTGCTTAGCTTGTCAATCGATTTTATCAGAATTTTATCATAAAATAAAATTTGTTTGTTGTTGAGTTGAATTATCAATTATATATGACCGACGAATGACACATTAAACATTCTTTTATTTTCATTTTAAATAAATCCTGCCATGATGCCTGCAAATGTAATGTATTTTTATAAATGTCACGCGTAGAGACTAACGATTTCCCTACGAATTGTTCATAAATTATTGTCAACGTAACTCTTTCACGCGAGGTGCGATAATGTCTTACAACTTACACTACTTACAGATGAAGCTTTTAAAACCGTGCTTCAACCACAAATATTTCCGAATGAATCGCAATCGAATTAATTGTCTTTGTAATCGGAATTGGCATGACCAAGGTTACGACGCTCAAAAATGAGTATTTCCTCAAAGAGATTCTCTTCTCTTTTTGCGTAAATTATCGTATTACTCATATTATTGATAGTAATGTATTAACTGTTTTAATCGAATAAAAGTTCGCGTGGATATTGGTTATTATTCAACGCGTGTCCTTTTCAATCTTATTACTCCAGTCTCGCGTTATCACTCGGGCAACATGCAAATTCGTCACTTTGCCATTTTACATTTTTTCTTTCGCGGATTATGAAATTAAATAGATATTTAAAAGGTACAGCGGCACGTGATGTCGGCACAACAACTTAAAAATAATAGTTAAAAGAACGAGGCATTTCTTATTTTAAGCATATCGATCGTTGCTTATCAAGACGTTTATTTAATAGTTGGCTTCCATAGCTCCTCTAAGAGCATATTATTAAACAATTTAAAAATTCATTTCGCTATATTACAAAACACGTCTAACAGAGAAAAACAAGAAGAAGAAGAAGAAGAAGAAGAAGAAGAAGAAGAAGAAGAAGAAGAAGAAGAAGAAGAAGAAAGAAATAGATAGCTTTTAGGGAAAAAAAAAACAATGTTGAGCAAAGGCACGCGGCGATCGTTATTTAATTAAATTGCAACATAATAAATATATTATGAATTATTTTTACACGCGTTTCATTTAAAATAAATCATACTGTTTAATTAACGCGTTTTTTTCTTCTTTTTTTCTTCTTTTTTTCTTTTTGAAGGTTACGATTTATTAGACAATACAATCAAAACACGAAGTTAGTGTTAGCTCGAGAGGCCAATGTAATTAGTATTACACGCGCACTCATGACGAAATAGTTTTTTTTTCTCTCTCGGAACAAAGGCTTACTTTACTATCAATACGTTACTATTGTTACTTTTTTTTTTTTTTGTTTTTTTTTTTACTGTTCCTGCTTTATTTATTTATTTGTTTTGTTTTGTTTTTGGTTTTTTTTCTTGCGAGTATAGCATACATCAAATAAATAACAGATAAATTATTTATATTAGTAGCGCATCCGCGTATGCGCGATAAAATAATTTAGTATTTACAATAATTTGTTTAAGCTTGTGTTTTAAAGAAGCTTAATTATTATTATTCGCTTAGTTAGTACAATTACATTTATCGTATGTAAACATAATGATTGGACGATATTATTATGAGCATCGAATAATTATTTTCATGCTCGACCATTGCCAATTAATTAATTATGATCACTTGAAAGACATAAACAATAAATAGTTGACAAATGTATTTGCGAATGAAATTATAAAATTTCTATACACATCATATTAATATACGTATTTAACGAAAAAAAAGAAAAAAAAAAAAAAGAAAAGTTTTTGAATATTGTTTTTGGTTAATCGCAAGGCCATTGTCATTGTAATTGCATGTCTAATTTAACGACACAATCTGTGAAATTGACAAAATTTTAAAATTTTAAATTGTAAAAAAAAAAAAAAAAAAAAAAAAAAAATAATCGATCGAAATTCTTCGAAAATAATTTTCGAAGCCATTAGAATCATTACGAAAGATAAATAGAGGAAATAGTACTTAATAATGATACAAGTACTAATAACAAGGTATTCTAATTACGATATATTTCTTTATAAAATATATGGATTTTTAACTGAAATACTAGAACATGATTTTATAACATATGTTTTTAATTTAGATTAATTTATCATGATTATTTTTTTAGTTTTATAATCGTTGATATGTGCACGTATAACGTAAAGTTAATAGAAAAAAGTTTGCTATAATCCGAGTGCAATAATGCTTAAAGTTCATTGTACAAATGAGCCAATTCTTGTCATTTTTAATTACCCATACATGACATTGCAACAAAGATAAGTATTTTTTTGAGAGTAAATTTATAAAGGATAATGTTTAATGGAAGACAGATTGCTGTTGGGAGAAGACTTTTAAATATTTATTTTCTACGTATTTTCTAAAAATATAGAATTTATTTGATAATTGTCGGGATAAAAAAAAAATTGAAATATCCCAATATAGGCACATAAAAGCAAACATAATGTCACAAAATTAATGCGTATTAACGCTTAACACGATTAATTTTTGCGCGCATTAGTCGCATTAAATAACATGAATTCTTAGACTTGAATTAAAGTAAAATGTCAAAGTCACGTAAGTTAGTTTAGATTGTTACCGTTCATTTTGGAATTTTATCTCTTTAGAAATGGATTTTTTGCTTAGATATCGCTATGCACATCGAAATGTTAAAGTATTATATATATATATGTAATGTAGAGATTGACCCACAAATCGAATGGTCGGGTAAGCCACATTTATTTCCAATTCAGTGTGCCAATTATGCGCATTCGTGCAAAGTTACTGGCCAAACAGAAAATGTCGAAAATGTCCCGAGTGACGCGCAAAATCCAAAGAGTCCTTGCAAATTAATCGTCACATTATTAGTCCATTGGGATCGATGGACCTGCCCATTAGCGGCGTTAAAAGGAGCGCGGCTTCCCCGTAGAGCTAGAGGGAGAAAAGGAGCTGCATCATGCAAATTCGCGACATCGCATGCAATTACAACGAAGGAGAAAGAAGCGTGGGCGGATGGTAAAGATTCGGCAGCGGGGAGGGGAGATGAGAAAACGTCGGTGCGCGCCTATGTAGGTGCTCTCGGGGTGGAGCACGTGGGCAACGACATTGCGTTCGGGACTCCGGGGGACACACGTAGTGGAGCGCGGCTCTGGCGTACGTGACCGACTGCACTGCCTGTTTCTCCGCCCCGACATAAGCCGATAATACGCCCAATGCACTCGTGCCAGATAAATTCAGCGAGTTTGTCCATTCCGTTCTTCCGTCCGTCTTTCTCACTCTCTGCCTTTCTGCACTGTGTCTATTCTCTCTCTCTCTCTCTCTCTCTCTCTCTCTCTGTGCATGCGTGCGTGCGTACGTGCGTGTACACGGGAATGAACGAGAGGGGATGACGCGGGTTGGTGGGAGGGTGAGAGAGTCAGGACTGAAAAGCTAAATAACGTGTACGAGCGATCGCTGGTCGTATGAATGGCGGGAACGCTGGTCACTCCGAATATATCCATTTTTGCGCGTTTGTCCTCCCAACATATTATTCACGTACTTTGGATACTCTAATTTTTATTTATGGCAACGGCAATGCCGAGGGTCACAGAGTACAAACTCCGTGCGCATTGTCCTACCACTCTCGCGTCACCTTATTTTTCCTATTACTACCATTATTATTATCATTATTACTACCATTATTATCATCATCATCATTACTACCATTGTTATTATTATTATTATTATTATTATTATTATTATTATTATTATTATTATTATTATTATTATGCATTAATACGACAATTCGCGCCACTCGACATTTGCACATGCGATCGCACTTTGAACGCACAGTGCCGTTATTATTTTTCTTTAACAATCTGCCAAGTTTAAAAATAAATTTACACTCGAGCGAAATATATCAATATCTTTGTTGCTTTTATTTTAATACTTAGTAAAATATCGAAGGTAAAACTGCTCGTTTATAATTATTTAACCACTTTAGTCCTTGCTTACGTCCCCGTATATCGAGATTTGTAAATGTGACGTTTGAGTGTAATAAGCAAATGGCAAGAAAGAACGACATCGATGAGTTATTCTAAAACTATTGCAATAATAATTTGTAATTATAATTTAATGAACATAAGGGCTGCTTACGATGTCGGCAATATTTATCACAAATTAATTACTAAAATAATGTGACCTATTTATGTTGATTCTGAAAAACAAAGTATCGAAGGAAAATAATTATGAAAATACTAAAGTTTAACGAGAAGTTGAAATATCTTGGAGAATGATAAAAAAAAAAAAAAAAATATAATTTGGAGTAAATAGGCGAATGATTGTTATTATTGGGGCAATCGATCAGCTTTATAATACAAAGTGATCAATTTACATTACACACGTGCTATTTTGGATTGAAGTGAATTTAAAACAAATTACAGCCAAAGATGATTTATCATAATGCACAGTACGTACGGTAACGTATATACCAAATAAATTATTATAATAAATTCTTGACGGTAATAAAGGAAATTAATTAAATTGTTAAATTGTTACTATTGCTTTTGTATCTATGAAATTATCAGCGATACTCTCCAATGTTTCATATATTTTGAGACTAAATAAAAAAAACCATGCTTTAACGTACGAAATAGTCGATATGTAAATTCACTAAAGCCAAAGCTTGGCATTTATTATCGTCAATAGTTGATCGTTTTATTTACTTATGATTTACCTTAGTCCTTCCATTTATTGTATAATCTCCCATCTTTCCATTATTATACATCTTGTTAGCTCTCATGATTATGGCATCTACTTTTGATATCAACATCCCAATGTTTTGGCAGTTTTTCTCTTTACCATCCAGCCATGCTATCTGATCGCCCCGTATTGTTTTTAAGTCACTCGCAGCAGCCTTATTAGATACTAATTGACCATCTCTGAACATACCAGCACTATACATATTTAAAACTTCATCCAGTACCGATATGCCCTTCTCAGTGCCGAGAAAATTATTTACAACACACACTCCCCACGTATTCATATCACTAATCACATTTCGACAAATATCATCGATTTCCTCTAGATTGTTCCTATTTCTAGGTAAAAAGGAGGGAAGAAATTCCTCCTCGTGCCTTAAACGAACTTCGGGAAAATTCTTCATTCCGTTATGATGTCTTTCGGGCATTTCCAATATTGGCTTATTAGCAGAACTTTCGAGTATTCTGGAACTTTGCAGGGGATTCAGTAACTCCGCCCTAGCCCCTAGTATCGTGTCTTCCGAGCTACCTTCATAAGTTATGGGCGATGTCCAGTTGTCCCTTTCTTCCTTAGTGAACAAATTATTCCTTATATCTCCTCTGTAGCTTTGATTCTTGGATTTTTTGTTTTTCTTGTTCTTCAGATTTCTATTGACCAACTCGTCTTCTATGACAAAAAGATAAAATAAATTACAAATAATAATAGTAATACTTAATCACAGTCCACGAACGTTAGTTCGTTTACTTTGCTCATTGGATCTAGACTTCTTCCATCGACATTTAGGGCAATTGGAAGGAAAGCTACATCGACAAATACAATTACCATCCCATAGTCGTACTTTAAACCCACAAGGAATGTCAATAACCCGACCGATGCTAACAATCAACGAGCAACCGTATATTAAAAGTAGCTATCGACTCTTGAAATTCAGTCACTGAATCAGGCGCAAGTTCTTTGCGTTAGAATCGACAGATCAAAAGTCAAGTAGCCCTCTCTCTACTTATATGGTTTAATTTTGTAATTATTGCGTAGAGCTTGGTAATTAGGTAAATTGTGCAAACATGGGTCCCGACATCAGTTTCAAATACCTTTAGAAACGACTGTGCACCTATGCTCCACGACAGAAGAAGTCTGGCATATTCTAAAACTCTACGAGCTTTAAAAACTAATCGCAATCCTGGATACCCACCTTGCAGGGAAACGTTGCTCCTCTCGTGGTTGACTCCAGGTAGCACGTGCTCGGAATCCTGACAGTCCTCCTCGAGAGACATGCAGTCGGACAGTCTGGGACAGATTCTCTTGTGTCGCTTCCAATCCAGTTTCTGATGCTCCTTGGTACAATAGAAAACACTCTTGCAACGCGAACACCTGAGTAGTCTGTCGTCCCTGCCACAAACAACGCATCCGCTTGCCTCGATGACGCAACTCGTCTCAGTCGTTGGTTGCTTCTGAGGACAACTGACCGCAGGAGCTGACATGTTCCGTGTGAGCGCTCACACGGCAGGTTCACTCCTACCTTAATCCTCCTTTCTCTCCCACTCTCTCTCTCTCTCTCTCTCTCTCTCTCTCTCTCTCTATCTCTCTCTGTCCAAGCCAACTCCCCTCCCCAAACCCCTTGCCGATCGTCGCAAGTTCGCTCGTGCTCTCCCACTCTTTTTTCACACCCGTGCCACCTCTCACTCTCGCTTTCCCTCGCCAGTATGCGCGCACACGCACACGCACACGCACACGCACACGCACACGCTCTCTCTTTGTCTCTCTGTCTCTCGCTTTTATGCTTGGAGCACGTCTCAAGCCGTCGACATCGTCGGGAGCGCCGACGACATTTCCACGACGGCCAAAGTCACATACGCTCGCGCAACTTGCTGCCCAATGACCGTACGAGCCGCCACAGCTGCGCGATCACTATTTCCTTCGCGATTTTCCCAACGATAATCGGAACGTTCCCCGTCAGCGCCCCGTCCCGACCGCCGCCGGCCCCTTGACTCTTAAGGCGCTACGGGGTCGTGGGCTCTCGCTACACGCCAGGAAGACACTCGACAACTATCAGTAAACGAGCATTCTTTAATACCCGGCAAATGCCCACCGAATGCGGAAATGCCTCTAGCTCTCTATCTCTCTCTCTTACACCAGGAGGTCCGAATCCGCGCTCACCCACAGGACAACGCGCGACTCCCCGTCCGCCCCGACGATTTTCTCCGATTGAGCCGATCACCGCGGAGTAACGGGGGACAAGGGCACACTCGGCGGCGCTCGTCGCAGTTCGCCCGAGCCGCAATGCCGAAGGAAAGAAGAGGGTACGGCGAACGACACGCCAAGACCAAGCGAGACGTTTTTTCAATTATTTTCTCGCACTGCATCAAGAACATCCTCCTCTCGCGAAATTAATGGGGGGGCGCCACTTTACGGTTGCGTGTAATTTTTGAGACGACTATGACCTACGACCACGACCACGACCACTACCACTACCACTACCACGACCACGACGACGACGACGACGATGACGACGACGATGACGACCACGACCACGACCACGACCACGACGACGACGACGACGACGACGACGACGACGACGACTAAATCCCGAACACCGTCTATTAAGAACGCGAGCGGCTTTCGTAGATGCCTCGTTCGAGCTAAGCCGGTCTGCTCTTCGTTTCTGCAAAGCCTCGTAACGACAGCCCCGCGAGGCCCAATTACACCCCCCCCCCTCTTCCACTTGAATTGCCACAGCGGATAAAGTGCACTGACTAGCCAATAATATACACGATCTCCGAGGCGCGCTGAATGTACGTTTCAATTAGACGAACCGAGATTTTCCTCGGGGATTTATTTATTTTGCAAGATCGCACCCCATCCCGTGTAATTCCCATAATGTTCGCGTTCATTAAATGCAGCTCCTTGCTTTCTTCTTTCTCTTTTGGAATAGAATTTTTTTTTCTAAGAAGAAGTAGCGCGCGAGCAGTAAGCCGCTAGACCGCGTGGATAAATAATTCTCTTCGCGTTATAAAAGAAAAATGAAGAAGAAAGGAGAAAAGCAAAGAAGAAGAGAAAAAGTAATACCGAAAACACAGCTACATACCCAGTCTTGATTTTAAATAATCCCCTTCGCCCCTCAACCCGCCCCAGCCGCCGCTGCCACCGGCTCGTCACCCCACTAATCTCACGCGAGACAAACGGACAATGAATAAATTATAAACGGCGATAAGGAATCGGTGATTTTTCAACTTCACGACGTCGTGTTCGCTGAATTCATTGGACGCTATTATTAATCAAGGCTCGAAAGCCTGATTAATTTACTACGGATTGCGCTCGAAAAGCAAGCGGCGGCTCAAAGAAAGGAAGCTTGTCAATGGCATTGAGATAAGATTGTCGTTAGCAATTGGGCGCGGCGGCGAGTGCGGCTGGAGGAAGTTCGAACTCCCCCGTCGTCACCGCCGCCGCCGCCAATCGTACGTAATAATAGACGAAACGAAGGCGAAAGAAGGCGAAAGAAGGCGAAAGAAGATGAAAGGGGAAGTGAGAGAGAGAGAGAGAGAGAGAGAGAGAGAGAGAGAGAAATGAAAAATCGCTACTAATCGTTGCTGTTAGTACGGCTAATTAAGAGCGGATGTGATTGATGTCGTTGCACCGCTGGTGCTGGCAACGCTGGGGGACAGCCGGTGACGACTACGACTAAATTTTGCAGTGAAATTTTCTTTTGCTCGGTCGGTGATCATTGTCGCGTTAGTTGTTAGTTATTCTTTATTCGTCGAAAACTTTTAACACTCGCGAGTGAAAAAAAAGGCCGGAGATCTTCTTCTAAGGATTGTGGGCTGTGATGGTGAGGGATGGAGGGATGGAGGGATGGAGGGTGGGGGGGGGGGGAATTCCGACGAACAACAGGTAGATAAGTCCACGAGTTTTCGAAAAGAGTTCCGTCGGTTCGATTAAAACTTAAAAGTAGTCGTTTGATACTGGACGAGGTTACTTTTACAGTTTCCTATCCATGTTTTCGCATAAGCTAATAATAATCTTAATTTGCATGGATCGCGAGATTAAAACGGCCGCTATTTCCTTTAAATAACGGCTAGTTCGACCGATTGGCAATGGTTATAATATTTCAGTTACTTAGTCCGTCGTGCATCATTTATCGGACAGACGTGAAAATTTAATTTGAATAGCCGATGCGAGAGTGAGAGAATTATGTTTAATTGCCAATGATTGAGCGGCCATTACGTAAAATACAGTGACTTTGAAATGAGTGGAAATTTGTACCGAAAAGGAATGTTAGATAGATGGAAAATCTATCATTGTTTCTATTACAATGTCTCGCTCGAGTATCAACATCAAGAAAAATCGTATGTTTTTCTTTAATACGTATGGACGTTATTAATAAAAAGCTTTTAAAATTTTCGTTCTTTCAAATGATTTATTTAGCTCTTTAGGCTAATTAGAGCAGAAGTTGTGATAATAAAATGAAAAGAAAAATAATAACAATAAAGCATTGTTTGTTTCTAGAAATCATTTATGCAAAGGAGCTCCCCTTTTTCTCGTTACTTTAACAAATAATAAGTAACAGTCCGGATGTATTTAAAAGCTTCTTTTAAACAATAGAGTTTAATGGCAACAAGTATTCTATACGCAGAAGAATGCTTTTACTTTATGTTATTGAAAATGGTTATAAGCATAATGATTAAACATCTTTTGGAACACAATACATGTGTGAATTTAAAAACTCGAGACAGGCTTTGTTACGCTTAGCAATTTATAGACATATTGAATTAGCTATATTTTAATTAATGGCGTTTGTGTATATAAGAGTTGCGATTGTCAAGAATATTAAATTAAAATTAGAGAAACAAGAGTAAAGAGATAATTGAAATTGTGATTGTATATAAGGTAATCATTAATATTAATGAATATTATTGTTGAGCGTTGTTCTAGATATCTTCTTCGATTCATTGTTCAAATAAAATAAATTCAAAGTAAAAAAAAATTTTTCAAATATCCGAGCTAATGGTAAGCAAGGTGGCAATAAGAAAGTTATTGCTTCGGAGGTTTGTACAAAATTTTTATTGTTCTCGTGACAAAGGATCTACATTGATCTAACATTTACAAAGATGTTTTTGAAAGATTTGGATGCAATTTGAATAGTACAATTAATTATTTTATTTCTCACGCACTCGCTGTGCCTTGTATAAATTATATAATCCATAAGCGCGTTATGTGTTATATAAAGATATTCCAGGGCTGAAAATATGAGCTATTGATCAAAAGAACAAGGATCATTGATCAAAAGAACAAGGACAATAGTTGCTGACAAAACAAAAAAAATAATACGTGATCTTGAACATGGTGATAATACAGCTCGGCTCTCAATGTCTATTTGAATAAGAGAAAAGATAAATAAAAAGCAATTATTAAAATTAGTCCATTGGCTTTAAAGCTTTGTACAATTATAATTTTTTATAATTATCGTATCGTCGCTATTGAAATCTAATTTTTAACATTAATTTAGAAAACACTCCTCCCTACGTAAGTAACCTAAATCTTTAAAAAAATTATTATTATTATTACGATATGAAGTGGCGGTGTTGTACTGTAAAAATTAATTATTACATATATTGTGTATGAGCATTATAATAAACGTTTTATCAAAAATTCTCGAATATTATTATTATAAATTACCCTATTTAAAAGTATACAAAATTCATTATTCCATTTGAATATTAAATAAATTATTATTAATATGACAATTTAATTGTAATGCTATATTAGAATAAGTAGACGAAGCTAGAGACTGTAAATTCATTTTACTACATGTTGTCATGGTAACGGAATACTTGTCAAAACAAAGCATATAAATAATGTGATTATATGTACATAGTTAAACAATATATTTTTTTCGCTTAATAACAATTAAATAAATAACAATGAGTACTTTTATTCAAAATATACAAATTAAAGATGGAGAGTATACTAAAGTAATTTATACAATGGTAAAATTAAAAATCTACCATTACATCATTAAAGCAATATTTAATCAATAAATGCTGTATAAATAATTTTTCAGATAAAGGAGCAAAGATACACCGAACTTATTCAAATATTGTCTGTACTATTAGATTCTTACTCTAGTGTTAGTTAAAATAATTCATAATGTAAATAAAATTTAATTCTCAATTTTACACTTTTATTATTTTTCGTTAGTCAAGGCCATGCTTGTCACTGTTGGGCTACATTTACTTTTATACTCAAGATTTTCTCGCTGCTGCTAATTGTTATGAGAAATTGATCCAAATTTGTCCCGATGAAGCTATATATAAGCTGTACTATGCCCAAGCATTGTATCAAACTTGTTTATATCAAGAAGCTTGGAATGTTTGTGCGACTATTGCGAACAATAGTGATTTGGAAGTTAAGGTAAAAAAGCTCCAAGCGGCAATAAAGTATGGTCAGGAAGACACTGTCGCTGCAAAGAGCTACATCGATCAATGTCCTCTAGAAGATGTAGATACGGAAATTAATTTTGGATGCTTGTTATATCAGGTTGGAGAGAATTGGTTATTTATTTACGTCCATTAATTAATAACTACGCCGACTGTCTTGTAGGAAGGAGAGTACGAGCAGGCTTTGAAAAATTTTTCCAACGCTCTACAAATAGCTGGCTTTCGGCCCCACTTATCATATAACGTTGCATTATGCTATTACAAACTGAAAGAGTACGCAGCGTCGATAAAACATATTGGTAATGAAAATCAAAACAATCAATGAAATCCCTATAGTAATGATAATGATAATGATAACAATATTGATGACAATGATAATAATAATAAGGGGAATGTTGTAGCTGATATAATTGAGCAAGGGATAAAAGAGCATCCTGAATTAAGCGTTGGAATGACTACGGAGGGTATTGAAGTAAGAAGCGTTGGCAATACGTTGACATTGCACGAGACAGCCCTCACCGAAGCATTTAATTTAAAAGCGGCTATCGAATATCAGCTAAAAAATCGTAGATCCCACCATTCTTTTCTTACAAACTCTTTTATTTTCACTTAGAATGCAATAAGGTATCGTCGATAATTTTTCACATTAGATGAAGCAGCTAGAGAAGCATTGACAGACATGCCTCCACGTTCCGAGGAAGAGTTAGATGCTGTTACATTACACAATCAAGCTCTAACCAATATGGATACGAAGCCAAACGAAGGGTTTGAAAAATTGCAGTTTCTGCTGCAACAAAATCCTTTTCCACCAGAAACCTTTGCCAATATTCTATTAATGTATTGTAAATATCAATATTATGATTTGGCAGCTGAGGTGCTCGCTGAAAATGTTGATTTGACTTATAAATATTTGAGTCCAGTAAGTGAAATAATACATTGCAACAATATTTGAAAATTTTAATAGATTGATATAAGTTATAATATATATATATATATATATATATATATATATATATATATACACACATACATACATGCGCACACACGCACGTACACACACACACACACACACACACACATATAGATTGCTTGTGATTGTATCTTTACGATATAGGTGCGTATAATTTTCATCTCTTTTAATCAGAATGCCTAATTCTTGAATGCTTACATTTCTTTGAATGTTTCTTACTCTCATTCTTAGAAACGCTATTATCGGACGAATCACTATTATTAGAACTACTATGGTGTTTTTTTTTTTTATGCTTTTGCTCCTTTAACTTTCTTTTTTTCTTTTTACTTTTTTCATCGACGTAATCGTTATTCTCACTTTCCGAATCATCTTGTTTAGACGATTTACTCCTTTTTCTTTTCTTAGACTTTTTTGACTTGTGCTTCTTTTCCTTTGATTTACATTCGTCCTTAATGTCTATATTGGGTGCTGCTTTTTCATCCTCAATTTCGGGTAGAAGCTCGTACTTTTTACCATCTGGCGAAGCGAAGCAATCTTTGGCAAGGTGGCCCGGCGTTTTGCACTTTGAGCAAGTCGTTTTGAAGACTGCGTCGAGTATTATGACTTTTCTATCCTCTCTCTTATTTAATGATTTTCTTTTTTGCTCGTCCAATTGTAATTGAACGCCAGCTGGATCCAAATCTTTACCATTTCCTTGATTCACTAATTTCATCGACAGTGCAATTTTTCCATCCTCGCCAATTGATATAATTTTACACCAAATACGCTCACCTCTTTGTAAAACGTCAGTCACATCATCAACATGTACTGAACTTACCTAAAATTCATAACAATGACACATTGCTTTCAAGCATTATAATTATAATATACGGCCTAATGAAAATTACCGAAAATTAATTACCTGCGAACGATGAATCAAACCTTGCTGAGCACATCCTGGTATTTTAACGAAAGCTCCGTAATTTTGTACGGAAGATATTTCACCAAGGAATATTTGATTCACTTTGCACGAGACCATTATCTTTATATTACCCAATTCTATAGAATTCCAATCACATTCAAGGTACGTTTAATTATCGGTAACTTTATTTACATACATTCGGCAGCCAATTTAACAATACTTGAACAATATTTATTGGCGAGCTGAGGTTATGTTTAGAAAAAGACAAAATAAATTGTCGCAGGATCGTAAGAAACGGGGCGTTTTACGGGGCGCCTTATTCTTCATTATAAATAGACGAATGAACGATGAAAGCCAGAGTCGCGGTAGATTTTAATTTGAAAATTTGATTCTCTCGTTAAATAATTGATGTATAACAATCCATGTACGACATAATTAATAATAATAGACCGTTTGTTTCAAGTATTTGTATGATTTTCTCGACGCTTTAATAACGCAACAAACCTCACCGGAAGAGGCCTACAGAAAATTCGATGATCTCGCTAATAAGCATACGGAAGTGTTGAGGAAGGCGACGAAACAAGTACAAGAAGCAAGATTAAATCATGATGAAAATTCGGTGAAAAAAGCGGTTAATGATTACGAGGACGCATTGGAACGCTATGTGCCGGTGCTGATGGCCCAAGCGAAAATATTTTGGGATTTAGGGAATTACACTCAAGTGGAGAAAATCTTCAAAAAGAGCGTGGAATTTTGTAACGAGCACGATATATGGAAATTAAACGTCGCCCACACGGTATTTATGCAAGAAAATAAATTTAAAGACGCAGTTGGCTTTTACGAGCCAATCGTGAAAAAAAAATATGACAATGTACGTAACGAGTGACTTTGCTATTGTTTGAATCTCCGAAAATTAAAGCGGCCGCCGCCGCCGCCGCCGCCGCCGCTACTTTACTGATTTTTCATGATTTTTATAGATTTTAAACGTGAGCGCTATTGTATTAGCAAATTTATGCGTAAGCTATATTATGACTACTCAGAACAGCGAAGCCGAGCAACTGATGAAAAAAATTGAAAAGGAAGAAGAGACGGTTTCCTTCGAGGAGCACGATAAAAAATTATTTCATCTCTGCATTGTCAATTTGGTAATAGGAACGCTTTATTGCGCTAAAGGCAATTACGAATTTGGCATCTCGAGGGTAATGAAGAGTCTGGAGCCTTACAATAAAAAGCTTGGGACCGATACGTGGTACTATGCAAAAAGATGCTTTCTCTCACTTTACGAACAACTAACGAAGCAGCTGGTTGTTTTGAAAGATAATACCCTACAAGATTGCATTCAATTTTTTGAACATTGCGAAGGTAATGTAGAACTTATATAATTATAATCGTGCTTTTAATTTTTAATTTTCAATCATTATGATTATGCACCACTACTAATAAAACGCATGATTAATTTAGTGTATGGAAGAGACATACAAACCGTGCTGGAACCTTTATTTGAGCTGCAGGAACTATCTCCCATTCCAAAAGCAAAAGAAACTGTTACTTACGAAGCCAGATATTTGAAAGTATTGTTTTTAAAATATCAAATGTCTTGAAGTCGGGGCCAAATACGAGCATTTTCACCTCATTATATTGTATTTAAGAAAACAATAATAAGGACTAAGGATCTTTGAGAGGAAAAAATTTCTTTTCTTTTATCATTATAATAATAGTATGATTAATAATGCGTAATTGTATGTCGTAACGAGCCAATGTGTGTAATATAAAAATTCACTCTTAGTACAAGTAGAAAATACGATAATATTGATAATGTTTGATCGTTAAGAATAAAGCGTGGAATTTTGTTTAATGCGATGATTTGAAATAAACATTTTTTCACTGCAACTAATCCCTTAAAAATTCATTTTTAACTCGAGCAAGTACTTATATCAATGTTCTTGTTTCAAATTTTTTTTTCTTTCCTACCTTTATATTATCGATTATTATAATTTTCTTGTTAATGATCAGTCGAACTACGAGTTTTCAGCGAATTCAGTGAGGAAAGCCAACGAATTGGTTGAGTCGGGGGGTTTTATGTTTTACACGCGCAACCCTGATGGATTTCGTTTGTCATGCATATGCGCGCGCGCGCGCGCATTGCAGTGATAATAAAAATGGTGGTGGACACGGAATTGGAAGAAGCAAAAGCAGCTGTTTTACAGCTAATGAATGAGAAAGATAAGATCGAATCTGATTTACAATCGGCAAGAAATATCTTAGATGCCGTAAGTATTAATTTAATAAAATATATATATATATATATATATATATATATATACATATCTATAAGGTTAACATCACCTACGGACTTTCATATTAAGGAGTGACTTTTTAGAGACAATGACCTGTCACTTTTCATATTTAAGCCCATCAATAATATAAAGTTACTTATATATTATCGTGTGTTTTCAGAATCGTGTGGGCATGACGGACAATTTAGTAGATTTAGAAGGCTATCCAAGAAATGATATCGACGTTTATCAAGTTCGACATGCTCGTCACAAAATAATATGTACATTTCGTTGAACTTCGTTTGTTTCATGTCAAATAGTTGCAGTGATTATCTTTTGCCCAATGATGAATAACATTTTGTTAAATTACAGGCTTGCAAAATGATCATAAGGAATTAATGCTTAAAATCGAGGAAGGTTTGCACAAGATTCATAAGATTGCTGGCGCTGGAACAGAAGCGAGTCCTTCGACTTCTAATACGATGCAGGATGTCTTTCTATTAGAACCATTTTTAAGAGTTAACTTGGTGTCCTCTGGCTCTCCAGCCGAACTGGCAGTAAGAAATAAAAGTCACATTGATTATTAGGAAAAGGCTTTCGTTCAATTTCATGCAAGATCTCAATATTAATTTTAAATATCGTTTTCGGGTTGCATTGGTAGTAGCATTGTTTTTTCTCCCAATAAGTTCTGGATTTTAATACAATGTCATAAATTAAGACAAAATGAAAATCAATATTCAATTAGTTTAAACGTCGGTATTCGGTGCTACTTTGGTATAGCGTTTGAATTTTAATTAGACTCGATGCAGCTCGATCCAATAAATGCTAATAAAATAATTGTTTATTCTGTGAAAATATCGAGTATTTGTTATATAGGGTATACAAGTGGAAGATCTTATACTAGAATTTGGATCGATATCCAATAGAAATTTCAAAAGCTTAAAAGATATTGGAACACTAGTGGAAAATAGCCGATATAAAAATATCTATGTAAAAATCAAGCGTGGATCCAATACTTTTGCATTGACTTTAATTCCTCGACCTTGGAGTGGAAAGGGACTTCTCGGTTGTAATGTTGTTCCATTGGAGGCTGTAGAAAGATAAAGAAGATCAAAGTATTTCTTAAAATTGTATAAGGTATTTACAGTTGTCAGTAAGTCATTATCTAATCGAATAAATTTCTATTTTTAACGAATTTTCAAGAGACTTATTTATTTTCCTTGATTATTAATTTTAGATAAGTAATTAATTTATGAAATCTATAAGAAATTATTTAAAGCAATGCTTTAAGCCTTTAATTTTATCGTTTGAGAAAGGTAACAAAAAACAATAATTATATTTATCCCATATCGATAGAAATAGCTATTAAGCATAAAGTTTAAACGTAAAAAGACCTATAAGTTTATTCATTTATATGATCAAAGCAGAAAATTATTGTTATATAATAAATTAACATCGTTACATTGACTTCTTATCGATTGTTACATAATCTTCAATTTTTCTTTTTAAAGCCACGTCATTTTTAGATATATATATATATATATATATATTATACAAATCTTTCACAATCAATTTAAAAAACAAAAGATAATCAAAGAAATAATTTTTCGTGCATCAGTCACTCGAATGATTAATATAATAAATATAACCAACAGGTTTGAATTTATATATAATCATCTTATCTGCAATTTTATTTTTAAATAATTATAATATTATACTCTAGAGAAAAACACAGTACCCTCGTACCGATGTATTGCTATAAGATTCATTTAAAAATTTACATTTAAAACAAAATGCATTCCTCGTTACTTTCAACGATATACGTACATAAATATTGGGACAATACTACCGATTGTATCGTATGCCCAATAAAACAAATGTAGAAGATTTTTTCATTTTTACTTGCACTTATAATCTGAAAGATGGCCTTGAATATTTATCTTATTCTAAACAAGAATTGTCATCATACCGACATTGGAATAAACAATATATCAGTAGATGAAGGAATCTAGCAACTGTAGACTCAACGTGTGTTTGACAAAAAATATCTATTTAAATGTAAAACTAAAAAACAGAAGAAAGAAAGAATAAAGAAACGAGAGGATTTCAATTGAAATTTATTTTATCTTCTATGTTGCTGCAACGTATGTACATGCAATAACGCGTCACATTAAAATTGCATTAATATATCCAATTATATGGACTCTTTATATTCGCATTGCCGTGACAATAAATTCATGCTAGAAAAGCAATTAAAAAAAACAAACAAACAAAGTCTAAATAATTTTAATTTGTTGGGGATATGTATCTCGTGGAACTTGATGTTCATAATGCGCGCTTTTGCGCAAGAGATGAGTTGGTCTCGCTTTTACGTAATCAGCGATTATCCAATGTAATATGATTAACCTGCGGTGCTTTTAGAAATTCGTCCGCTTTGGAATGAATGAATATCAATTGCTGACGATGTGCACGTGCGCGATTAATAGAGTGATTTCGATCGAGATATCGCAGCTTTGCAATTAATGGTTTTAAAATTTGTATATTTTTGGTTTGCCGATAGACCAATTGCTGTATAGAAGTCTTAAACCAAGCTCAAACACCTAAATTCGCTTTTTCTCGATAATGACAAATTTGTATAAGCAATATTTGAAGTTGCTGCAAAAATGGCCAGTTGATAAATTAAAATCCAAGTATGTATTTAATAATAAATTCTGCATGTGTAGTTTAAATTGCATTACATAATAGCATGCTAATCTTAAGAGGTTAACAACCTCATACATGCCTATATATATGTATATATATATATATATATATATATATAATATCACTTTTACATTTAATAATATTATAAAGAAATTTGTGCTTATTGTAGACGTAATGCGTTACAAATGTTGTTTATAATTACCGAACAATTGTATTTCTTAAAAAATAATTGGCTATCCGAAACTTTAATGTAAATCTTGTACGTTTATAGGGATCTTGGTCAACACATACGTAATGAAATTAAAATTGCGTTTAGCAAAGGAAACGATAGTACAATAAAAGATATAGAAAAATGTCAACGTTATTACGAAAGTCTCGAGAGATTGGCATCAAATTATTATGGTAATAAATATCCATGCACGTTTACGAAAACTGCAACGGGCATAAAACCTGAACACTGTACCTTAATTTTAAGTCCAGAAATTCAAGATTTTCTCCAGCAGAAAAAGTTGGGATATTTTGCCAGATTTAAGCAAAAGTTAAGAAACATCTTTAGTAATAAAATTTCAGCCATAGACATTAATAATAAGTAACTTGTTTGTAAGTAGCGTTATAAAAGTGATGATGTTTTTGCTCAACGCTCTTAGGTATTTTAAAGTATCTACGAGACTGTGTAGTACTCGGAGTCTTCTCCATAGGAGTTGCGAATCCAAGATAGAATCATGTAATAATACACAAATTCATGTTCCAGTGATGGTAGAGGAGACGTTAAAATATTTGAACCTCTCGCCAGGAGATACGATAATTGATATGACATTTGGCGCGGGTGGTCATTCTAAGAAAATTTTAGAATCCATACCCGATGTGAAAGTCTTTGCTCTCGATAGAGACGAGGTAGCGATAAGCTGTGCTAAAAAATTGGCGGAACGATACCCAGGCCAAGTAATACCATTAGTTGGTAGATTTTCCGAACTTTTATCGTTACTAAAGAATCACAATGTGAAGAAGAATAGTATCGATGGCATACTTTTTGATTTTGGCTGCTCATCCATGCAATTTAATACACCGGCGAGAGGCTTTATGATATCAAAAAATGGACCGTTAGATATGAGAATGGATGGATTTAGGTGTCCCGATAATCCAACGGCAGCTGATATTCTTGCTAAGATCGAAGAAAAAGACTTATATTGCATATTGAAATGTTATGGAGAAGAGAAGAGAGCGAAAAAAATTGCACGAGCTATCATTGACGCGAGATATACATTTAGAAATTTAAGGACGACGCATGAATTGGCTCAACTCGTCGAGTCATTGTTCCCCGATGAGACTAACGTCGACTCGTTGGGGAGGTTTCAACATTCTGCTACAAAAACATTTCAAGCGTTGAGAATTTTCGTGAACAACGAGTTGAATGAAATTAATTATGCCATGATAATTGCAGACAAACTTCTGAAAATTTCTGGTCGGTTGGTAACAATATCTTTTCATTCCTTGGAAGATACTATAGTGAAAAGACACATTTTTGGAAATGTTAAGGATGGCATGGCTAACCAATTACCACTGAAATACATAAATTATGGGAAAACGTGGGACAATCAAGAGGATGTAAAAAATATGACAGAGACTTCGTGGAAAATGTTGCACAAACATGTTTTAATGGCTAGTAACAAAGAAGTCAGCATGAATCCTCGATCTCGGTCGGCAAAATTTCGAGGAATCATCAAGATTAAGTAAAATTTGATATTCATAAAGAATTTATTTCACTTTAAGTAATCCACAAGATAAAGTGTTTTTAAAAAAATGTATGTATATTATTTGTGCTTTAATAACAATAACAATAATACAAGATAAAAAATTAAATTATGAAAGGGTGTGACAAAATTGTAGAATAATAGTAAGCGATACGTTTGTATAAATATACGTAATAGTTCCTTTCCTCGTTAGTTGATGATTTAAAATAAGCCTTCGATCTCATTTGTTTCATAATTCCAATCCATATCATAAATATTTGGTCTTGCTGGCAATCCTGGCATCATCATGATCTATTAATTAGAAAATTTATACAATTTTTTTATTATCTTGAAACATGTATAAAATAATACTTTGTATATTCACGGCCGACGAATTTGTTTGTAATAACTCACCGATCCGACCATCGGTACGACGAATCCAGCCCCAACCGACACAAATATATCCGTGATGTCTAATTTGAATCCGGTTGGTGCTCCTTTAATATTGCCATCACCGGTCAATGAATTCGATGTTTTTGCCATGCACAGTGGTAATTTGTCGTAACCAAATCTATTGTATTCCTGAATTTTTACCTTCACCTGAAAGCAGCAGCATAATTGCAATAAATCAATACATCGTCATTTTAAATACTTAAATTATGAAATGTCACTGCCATCGCTCGATAATGGGAGCGCGAGAATATAATATAACAATATTATGATTTCAACAATTTGAAAAAATTATTCTTATTCTCAACGAATAATAATATTTTCATCCAAGCGTTGCTTCGTTTTAAAAATGAAAAAATATCTTTTTTTTCTTTTTTTTTCTTTTTTTTTTTTTTTTTTTTAATGTAAATTGATGCGTTTGTCGATCGAGCTGCCTTTGTAACTATTTTTGACCATAATCGTTAATGATTTCATAAATTTAATTAAAACTTTAACATTGCCCGTTATAACTATCGTAAATTATATGTATATTAGTGTTACTCGTCCTATCGTCGATGAATAAACATTCGCCTTCCAATAGTATAAATAATGTAATTATCGAGGGGGACAATTGTTTGGAGATATTTTACAATATAGAAAATAAGCCACGACTTATCAGTTCCCATTACCTTTTTCTTACACATTTGGACATTAGAGAGCGGAAACGAACGATTGGAAAATACATTTTATATAATTGCCATTGCTGGTCAATAATGCAAACAAACTTGCGATTCATCATCAATTTTACCAAAGCGTGAGTCTGCCAAAGCGTACGGCGACATTGAAAACTTTATTAATCGGGAAGGGAAAAAAAAAATTTTTTTTCACCCTTGCCTCAATTCTTATTTACAGTAAAAATTTTCGGCTGTTCTATCGCCTCGGTTAAGTTTTATTAAGTTTTATCCCATCGAGATTTATCCCATTCAAATATATCGAAATATTTCGACCCCTTAAAACGTACTTTTTACATTCAAAGCAAAAACACAAAACAAAACAAACAAAAAAAAAAAAAAAAAAAAAAAAAAAAAAAAATAATTCTCTTTAACGTACTCCGGCAATAATAAGGAATTCTTTCAAAATTTTAAAATCGTTATTCGCTTTTTCCTCTTGGAGTAGAGCTTTACTAGAGTAGAACTATACTCGCATCGATCCAACTCGATCGACGATCAATCGTCGTGCTGTTGGGGGACATTTTACAAAGGACACGCTGATCGTCGAGCTCGAGAAGGTAGCTTGTTTAGCTTCCTCGATGTCTATCCTACCGTTTCTTCGACACAAAGGCCCGAGAAATTTTTCATCTCAGTCTCGAACATACCAAATCCGCCAGGACAACTTCTCCAGCACCGTACATTTCCTTGGCGATCTTCTCGATCTTCTCCTCGATACTCAGACTCAAATCATAGAGGAAGTGAAAATCATTAGGCTTTGCAATTGCATCGATGACTGCGTCGGCAAGCTTCACGGCACCTTTCCCACCCTCGGCCCAATGTGTACAAACGACGGCATCGGCAGCCCCGTTCTCCAGCGATGCTTGCTTTACAAGCTCCAATTCCGTTTGGGCGTCACTTCTGCAAAATATCGGCATTTATTTATTATATAATGGGCGATCGACTGCCACGATCTCCAATGGCGTTGCAAGACAAAAAGATTTACAAAAGATTCTCATCTGCCATTAAAAAAATTCCAACATATATCCAACAAATATCCAACAAATATCCTACAAATATTTATAACTTTCGTGGAGGAGGACATCGAGATTATTACCGCTTATATTACCACTACCGCTACTACTACTATTACTACTACTACTACTACTACTACTACTACTACTACTACTACTACTACTACTACTACTACTACTACTACTACTACTACTACTACTACTACTACTACTACTACTACTACTACTACTTACTCGTGCGCGTTGATGGCCACGACGACTGGTAAGCCGTACTTGAGGCCATTGCCGATGTGCTTAATGAGATTCGGCAAGCCCTTCCTCACGAGCTCGAGATTCTCCGCTGGTGAGGATTGCTGCTGCGGCTGCTGGCCTTTGGCATCTGGTTTTGCGGGTCCGCCGCCGTGCATCCTCAGGGCGCGAATCGTTACTACGAGGACGACGGCGTCGGGCACGAGGCCCGAGCTGCGGCACTTGATGTTGAAGAACTTTTCCATACCGATATCCGAGCCGAAGCCCGCCTCGGTCACAACCACGCCCTCGGGCCCAACGAGCTTCAGAGCTACCGCGTCCCCGACTATGGAGGAACAGCCGTGAGCGATGTTGGCGAAGGGTCCGGCGTGCACCATCACCGGGGTACCCTCGAGGCTCTGCATAAGGGTCGGCTCGATCGCGTC